CCCTGACCCGCTCCTCGCAGCTCGGGGCAGCTCCGGGGCTGCGGAAGCGGACGGGGCTGAGTTCCTGCCCGGCGGCTGGGCGGCTGGGCGGGCGGGCACCGCGGCGCCCCTTCTCCGTCTCCGCCGGAGTTGGACCTCCCGCCGCCCGTGTCCAGGTAGCTGGGCTTGGCGCACCGACCCTGAGGCCCGCCTGGTCATGCTGCCCAAAGTAGAGACGGAAGCCCTGGCACTGGCTCGAGCGCATGGGGACCAGGGGCAGATGCCGGAAGCCATGCAAGGTAAGCCGGCCACGCGCGGCGCCCCGGCTCCCCGCCGCGTCCCCGCCCGGCGCAGGAAGCCGAGGAGGTCGCTGCTGGCCTCGGGCTGCTGGGCGGCCATGGTGGGGGGAGACCCCTCCATGGCGGGCATAAAAGTTTAGGACTCTAGACCCGCGCAGGCAGAGCTTTCGTGATCAGTGTCTAATTGGCCGCTTCTAATTACGCGCGGAGGGCACCCGAGCTAGACGAGCAGGGCCGGGGTGGGGGGGACCTCCGAGGATCGTGGCCGTCCGGCGGGATGCGGGGAGAGTAGGCGAGTGTCTCCGAACCCCGGAGCGGGCCGGGGTCTTTGGCACGGCTCTGCCCCCCCCCCGCGCCGGTGAGGAAGGGGAGGCCCCGGCGGAGAAAGTCAAGTACAGAGAGAAAGCGCCTCCACCACCACCACCAACCCAAAAAACCAGTGCCGTGGGATCACCCGAACCCCCAGGCTGAACCCCGACGCCAGCTCGGACCTGGCACCCACTTCGGGTGACGGGAAAGTTGCCTCGCCCCGTCCCGGGCGAAACGTGGAACGCGGTGGGGCGGGTGGACGTGCGCGCCGGGCTCCGCCGTCCATCCGGGAGCGCAGAATACTCTGGAAGTCCTATTTGTTTTCCCACAACTTGATTGCGAACCACAGAAGGAGAGGAAGAGAGGGAGAAAAGGAATCAGGCCGTTTATCCCCCCCCCCTTCCCAAATAGCCAGTGTGGATGCGGACGTGGGTGTGGGTGTGGGCGCGGGTGGGGACGTGGACGAGGCGTGTGTGGAGCTCTGCCGAAGTTTGTGGCGTTGGCTCCGGGAACAATGCGAGGAAAAGTCTCCGGGGCTCCTCCGTCCTCGCCGCTTCCCCGCGCGCAGGATGTGCGGCCCGGGCCCCGGCGCGGCGGCGGCGGCGGCGCGCCGTCCTCTTAGAGCGAACTTGAAAGGGCCGGGGAGGCGTGAGAGCCGGGAGGCAGGGACACCCGGTGTGGCCCCGGGGCGGAGGAACCTAGGGGTGGCAGGCAGGGGGTGGGGGTGGCGATCTCCCCCCCCCTCCAGTGGTCGGGCCCAGGCCTTCTTCCCTGGAGGCTGCAAGCGTCCCCAGGCTAACTTTGTGGGTGTCCACAGCCTGGTGACCCAGCGTGGCGTCCCCCCACCCTGCCTCCCCGCCCCGCAGCTAGGATCGAGGGGGAGTTAGGGGTGGGGAGCGCGGGAAGCGGGACTCGGTACGGCCCCGGGGAGAGGTGGCAGCCTGCACGGGTCTGGGGTCCCGACGGGAAGTTGGGGCTTCCCGCGGCCGCGCGGGCTGTGCGTGCAGGTCGATCGGGACCCTGAAGGGGAGGGGAAGGCGGTGCTGGGTAACGCTTCCTAGATGAGGTTCCTCGGGGGGTCCTTCTGGACGCGACCGGCCCACCCACCCCAAAGAGAGGAGGTGAGGATTGGGGGTCCCCGCGGCCGCCCGCCCGCCCGCCCAGCCCTGGGTTCGAGCGCGGCGTGGAGAACGCCTCCCGTGGGGATCTCCCGGCTCCTTCGAGTCGCCCGCCCCATTTGCATGCGTGATCTGATGGTGATAGAGTCACGCACACACACGGACTCACGGGGGACCCCCCTCCCCCCAAACAGGATCCGCTCCCTGCCTCGCGCGCCGTGCGCGCCCAACTTCGCCGAAACTTCCCGGCGTCGTCGGCGCCAGTGTCCCCGAGACCCCAGCGTCCACGGCCGTGGTCCCCGCTCATCGCTCGGGACAGAGACGGGGGGGGCCGTGGGGGACCTTGTAGCTGGCAGCCGGGCGGGGGGCAGCGACCTCCGATCCCCCCTCCCCGCCCGGCCTCGCTCCGCGGCGCCCGGCTCCGCGGAGCGGATTTTCTTGGGGCTCCTAACCTCGCACCCGGAGCTGTTCCGTGTCAGACTCGGCCCCAGCCGGCCTGTGCCCCCTTAGGTGTGAAGTTGGGGTTTCCTTGGTGGGGAGGAGCTAGAGAACCACAACCCTGGGTAATGTAGACTTTTCTCTCCGTCCCTAAAGTCCGCTTGGAGACCGTGGTCACGAGTTTTCGGAGCGCTCTCCACGCACTCCAGCCTGAGTCCCCAATCCTTAGCGGGGCGGACGGGACCCGCGTCCCGCAGCCCGGGCTCCCTCTGCCCCCCACCCCACCCCCGGCGCCGGGTGTCCCGGGATTTTCCCAAACTCTGGGTCACTCCGTCCGGTTCAAGGCCCAGCCCCGGGCCGGCGCCTGGGAGAGACTCTGGGCTCGGCCCGCTGTGCCCCCCAAGTACTGCGGCCGCCACCCTTGCTTTAGGCCGGGCCTAAACTTGATTTTTTTTTTTTTTCAAATCAGTTCCATCTGCCAGGAGGCCAGAATGGTGATCCGGTGGCCAGGTAGGTGGGCAGCGAGGCGGGGAGCGTTGCTATTTAGTAAATCAAAGGAAGCTACAGCCGAGTGTGGGGTTTCCCCCCCCCTGCGCCCCGCCGGCCACTAATTAACTGAGAACAAACGGCGACTTTGCGCGCCGGGAGTAGCCAAGGGCGGAGCCGCGGCGCAGGGCTGGGCGCGCGCCGGGGGCTAGGGAGAAGGTTCTGGGGAGCAGGGCGCAGTGGCCCGACGAGACTGACCAGTCCTACCCCGGGTGACCCTGTCCTGGGTGCCGTCCACCCTCACCTCCCCCTCCGCTGTGCGCCCGGGACGCGAGCGGGTACCTGGGGGGGGTCTTCTGCTCCCGACCTTTTGGGTGTAGTTTATCCCGGCCTCTCGGGGTGGTGTTCCCAGGAAGGCGGTCACCCCGGTAGGGAGCCGCGTGTGGCCGTGGCTTTTGTGTGTGTTACCGGGCGATCTGGAGGTGTTGGTGGTTCGCGCCGATCGCCGCCAGCACGTGAAGTTCATTACCGGCCCAGCGCCCGGCCAGGAGACCAACCACCTGGCGTTTCTTTTCTTCTCCCCCACATCCCCTTCCCTTCCCCCCACTTCTGGGTAGGCGTCCTATCTTTTCCCTTCTTGTCACTTTTCGCAGGACATTTCTCCAACGCGGCGAGGAGATGAAAGTAAGCAGATGTGCGCCGTCTCTAGTAGAGAACCGAATGAATGATTCGATTACTTCAACAGGTCGGGCCGGGGGGCGAGCGGCCGCCGGCTGCCCATCAACTTGGGGCTGATGTGGAGAAGCCGGGCGTCTGGGGCTTGGGATTCTCTGCAGAAAAGAACAATTTGCCAGTTAGTGTAAACTGCTAAATGCGTATCCAGGAAACTGCTTCGGGAGTGTGTGTCTGTCTTGTCTGTGTGTTCGTCCGTGTGTATCAAAGGTGGTATTTTGGCATTAACTCCAGAAATTGCAAAGTGAGTCCCGGGTTCTTCCTTTCCATGCGGCGGCTCCTATTCTGTTTTACAGAGTTATGAGACCTGGGTTCAACATTAGTCAGTTTAAAAGAAGTTGGTGTTGTTTTTTAAATTTAAAAGTATGGTATCTGGTCATTGACGCCCAGAGATGTTTTCCTTTAAGTGTAAAAATAGCTCTTTTCAGGATCACTTGGATAAAATATATACATATATTTTATTTTATACATTTACCTGGTGATATTTGTCCACCCGTCATCAAAAATGTATTTCCTCGCAGGATTAGAACCCTGCGTGGGTTCAAATGACCTGGAGGTGTGTATATCTTTTTCCCCCTCTTCTTTCAGTGTCTCAATTTAAAATGGTGAATTATTCCTATGATGAAGATCTTGAGGAGTTGTGTCCTGTGTGTGGAGATAAAGTATCTGGATATCATTACGGACTCCTGACCTGTGAAAGTTGTAAGGTATGTCCACATATTACCTGTAAAAAAAAATACAATGTGCAAACTCAGTGCAAACCATTGCATTTTTTTTCTGAAAGCTAAATTTAGGCTGCTGGCCCCCCCTCAAAGATGAGAGTCTTAGATGACACTTAGAAATATGTGTCTGATTTAGTTCAAAAGGCAAAAGAAAAAATAGGCTGTTTAGAAAACTTTGCCAGTCTTATGGCTTTAAAATATTTTTATTGTAGTAAAGTGATGTAGCTGTAGAAAGATGTTCATTGCTATCAGTCCTAAATATTGATTTCACTTGATTTATATATATTTAAAACATCGTTGCTCTTGAGCAAGAACATGACAAAGTATTTTTCCCAAGTACATTATAACTTCAGGGTAGTCTATGCTACAAGTACAAGCACTTTTTTAAAAAAAATAATGGTAGATTTTTTTTATATACTCTCAGTGAGTTCAGTATTTTGTTTCAACATTGTTACCGTAAAAAACTTAAATACAACTATATAAAGCAGTACTAATCTCTTCTTTCTCTATAGCACAGATTACTTCTGTTTACAACTGATAAGAATACCAACTTAGAAATGTCTTTATTCTATTTACAAATTTTATCTTGATTAATCCTTTCATGCCAACTGCAAGGAAAGCATAAACTCTGATACAATTCAGCTTTGAGATCCATGCTCTTCCTTAATCTATAAATTTCATCGTTCTTTTAAAAGATAAAAATATTCCCCCACCCCCACTCCGACTAGAATGCTTTCCAGTCAAATTGTGAGCACTTTCCCATTTTGCTCTTTCAATCCTTTTGCTTTTAACTATGTAGTGTTGACATTTGTAAGCGATCTAAGGAGTTTCGCTATTGTTTTCCCCATTGGGATTGTACTGGAATTATTTCTGACTTCTTAAAAACAATCTGAGTCTCCATGAGCACCTCTGTCAGGAACATGAAGATGAAAAGGAAGGCAGACTTAAAAACAATCACTGGTCAATACAGGGTTTGTTGTTGTTCCTTTTTCTAACCCAGGATAATGTGGTATGGAGTCAAGTCTCTCCAGGTTTCCATGTCATTCCTCAGGACTATAACTTGGGGGCAGAAAAATCTCCACTGTGATCTGACCGTATTGTAGAGGGTTGATTTTATTGAAATATAAAATAAACCACAGAATCACATCAGGACCCAACTAGTACAATGAAAGGATTTACTGGTGATTTCCTTAAAATGAAACAAAGGAGGGAAAGTGGTAGGTTTCTAATCTGTCTCACTGTTTGCTCTGTCTTGCAGGGATTTTTTAAGCGAACTGTCCAAAATAATAAAAGGTACACATGTATAGAAAACCAGAACTGCCAAATTGACAAAACACAGAGAAAACGCTGTCCTTACTGTCGATTTCAAAAATGTCTAAGTGTTGGAATGAAGCTAGAAGGTAAGATTCTTCTAAAGACAATTGCTTACTAAAAGTCTCCAAGTAGAGATACACAAAAACATGAGGTGGCAACAAATTCACATTTTCCCACTCTTTTAGTACTATAGCATGGATGGAAGATCTTTCTGTTTTGTTTGCATGGTGGTTTCACATAAAAAAAAAAACAAACTTCTCATTGATATTTAATAAAAAAAAATTGTCACCCCCCCCCATTCCCTTATTTTACGTTTAGGAGTAGATGCATTTTTTCAGTCCTAAAAAGATCAACAAGATTAGAGCTATTCCACTGAGAACAATAAATACAATTAATTTACAAATCAGTCCATGAAGTTTAAATATTCTTTTTGAGTAAGCAGAATAAAAGTTTGATTTCTATCTTTCCTTGGTAGACCTCCTCCTCATCCTAATTGTTAATACAAATTTCATAATTTTTGAGCAAAAGGAGTTCACCGTGCAAAGAAAATTTTTTTATGCTGCAGAAATACAACATACTTTCATTTAAAAGACGTGATAAGGATTGTACAAAATAAAATAACAGATAGGAAGCGTGAAAAATAGTCAGTAGCAATGGTTGGACAAGAACAAGAAAATGATTTCCTCAAAAGCCACACCATACTTTGTTATACACTTCAGAGTTCAGATTGGCGGCAGTAAAGTTAATATGTGACTGCTGTAAATAATTTGTAGTTCGTGGGCTGTTAGGGTAGGCTGCTATTTTCCAGCCTTTGACCTACTGGCTTTGCCCAGATTAAATATACTGCAAAATAAACTACTAACAGGGACACATGTCCGTGAAGTTGCTAGATAGAACAGTTCCTTCTATTTGATCATTGAGGAACAGGCCACCGAGGGGAATTTGGGGGTGGGGGAAGAGATGTGGAACTCATATTTGACAGAAAATACTAAAAAAAAAAAAAACCCAACATAATAATTTCAAATTGTCTGAATTGCTAACAGATTTCTTCACATAAAAATGGCTGGTTTGGATGTCATCAGGACTGCTTTAGAGGAGATGTAAGAAAGGAAAGCATTGGTGCTTATTAATTTTCTTATCACCAATCTTGTTTATCAAATAGGGGAATCATGAGTGCGATGTTTCAGACCCAGAAGATGAAAAAGCTAGATGCTATTATTTCCAATGATGCCAGCCATTTGATTTTTTTTTGCATTGTTTATCTTGAAGTGTTTACTTATCTTGAAAATTAAATTGCATGTTAGTCACTCATGGTACTTACATTTAGCAGTGGAACAAAACAGTTGGATATCCAACACATTATCATTCAGATGATACACTCGTTATGTATGAGTGTGTGTAGTATTTTGGATACCTAGAGTTCACCATAAATTTTTCATGTGATACTAATCCTAAGATAAAAAGCTCAAAAACTTAACCTCCAGCAATTTCAGCTGGTCCCGTGGCAGATGGCAGCCCGTGGTTTCTAAGCGCCACGGGTCATGCTGGACTTGGGGAGAGTTGCTAGCCAGGGTAATGGACAGGCCCGGACTCCAGGCCCTGGTGTGGCAGAAGAGGCCCTGAAATAGCTTTTTGAAAGGAATTTGCTTTAATTTTGTCCTCTTGCTCACGTGAAAAACAACTGGTAGTTCACGAAAGTGCCATGATCTAGCCCAGGTGAAAACCATTTTTTTCCAAGAAGAGCTACTGTATACCTAACTCTTTTGTAACCAGATCACCCCAAATGACCCAGAGGAAGATGCCAGAAGGAAAAATGTTCACTGTTTAATACAGAAATGAGTTGTTTCACCATTTCTCCCCCGGAATAAGAGAAACAGCTATACAGCAGAGATAATTTGAGCTTCCATAAAGATTTATGATAGACATGGATACTTCAGTATGAACACTGATTCTGTCTTTGTGTCTCTGTCTTTCTTTCTCTTCCTTTCTTTGTGCTGGTGCTGGGGTTTGAACTCAGTGTCTAGGTACTGTCTGTTAGCTTCTGTGCTCAAGGCTGGTGATCTGCCACTTCAGCCACAGGTCCACTTCCAGCTTTTTGGTGGTTAATTGGAGATAAAAAGAAATCTCATGGACTTTTTTGTACAGCCTGGCTTTGAATCACAATCCTCAGATCTCAGCCTCCTGAGTAGCTAGGATTACAGGCAAGAACTACCAGTACCTGGCTTGTTCTCTTTCTTTCTTTTTTTTCTTTTTTGTTTTGTTTTGTTTTGTGTCAGTCATGGGGCCTGAACTCTGGGCCTGGGCACTGTGCTCTTTAGCTCAAGGCTAACACTCCACCACTCGAGCCACAGCACCACTTCTGGTTATTTTCTGCTTATGTGGTGCTGAGGAATCGAACCCAGGGCCTCATGCATACAAGGCAAGCACTCTACCACTGAGCCACCTTCCCAGCCCCTTGATTCTCTTTCTTAGCAATATTAAATTACCTCCTAGATGAAACAAAAATTATAAAATCTTTTTAGTTCACAAAAGGCTTAATTTATCCAAACAATTTTGAGCAGTAAAACACACTTGGAGGGGGGGAAATATCATTAAAAAGTCATACTTTTTGTTCTTCTTTTTTCTTTTTTTCCTCTTTTTTTTTTTTTTAACTTTCTTAGAATCCTGTAGGCGAATGGTAATACAAAAACATAGCTACACAACCATTTCTAATCAGTCTTCAACATTAGTAAAAACTTGGAGTAGCGGGAACAGGCTAAGAATGTGCATCTTATTTACCCTTTCTTCCACCCCCTTCTCTCCTCAATAGCTGTCCGGGCTGACCGGATGCGTGGAGGAAGGAACAAATTTGGGCCAATGTACAAGAGGGACAGGGCCTTGAAGCAGCAGAAGAAAGCCCTCATCCGAGCCAATGGACTGAAGCTAGAAGCCATGTCTCAAGTGATACAGGCCATGCCCTCTGAGCTGAGCATCTCCTCTGCCATTCAGAACATCCATTCTGCTTCCAAGGGCCTACCTCTGAACCACACCGCCTTGCCTCCCACAGACTATGACCGAAGTCCCTTTGTCACATCCCCCATTAGCATGACAATGCCACCTCCCAACAGCCTGCCAGCTTACCAGACCTACGGTCACTTTCCTAGCCGGGCCATCAAGTCTGAGTACCCAGACCCCTACACCAGCTCTCCGGAGTCCATCATGGGTTACTCCTACATGGATAGTTACCAGACCAGCTCTCCAGCCAGCATCCCGCAGCTGATACTGGAACTCATGAAATGTGAGCCCGACGAACCTCAAGTTCAAGGCAAAATCATGGCCCACCTACAGCAAGAGCAGGCAAACCGAGGCAAGCACGAGAAGTTGAGCACGTTCGGGTTAATGTGCAAAATGGCAGATCAGACCCTCTTCTCCATTGTTGAGTGGGCCAGGAGTAGCATCTTCTTCAAAGAACTTAAGGTACGACTCCCTTCCAATAGCCCCCAAAAAAGGATGTTGTTATGCTTCTGAATAATAGGTTCCTAGTCACGGGTAGTATATATACTTTTTTTGGTGCCAGTACTGGGCCTTGTGCTCTCTCTTGGCTTTTGCACTCCAGGCTGGTGCTCTATCACTTGAGTCACACCTTCATGCCAGCTTTTTGCTGGTTAACTGGAGATAAAAGGCTCACAGATTTGTCTGCCCCAGCTGGCTTTGAAGTCTAATCCTCGGCTCTCAGCCTCCTGAGTATGGAGGATTGCAGGCAGGAGCTTCCAGCATCCTGCTTTCTCTCCTTTTTCTAAGTTAAAAAGAATTAAATGGCCAGCACTTCAGGACGCCCGTAGCTGGACTTATTCTGTGTAGTTTTTTAACTTGGTGGATGATATCCAACCTGAAATGTTGGTAAGCGTTTTGTTGTTATGGATAGCAGAATGCACTTCATATTTTTTAACTCATACTTTGTGGTTTAAAAAGTTATTTGTCAGATGACTAGTAAGCTATTGTCTAAAGTTACTAAGGATTGAGCTATAGTTTCATGGTGTCCTCTTGAAGGTTTTATTCAGAAGAAAACACATGGCCAACGTTCAGTTGCACTTAGACCCTAATTTAACTGTGTTCAGTATCCATGGGTATTTGCTACCTGTTTACCTTGACATTAGGTTGGTAAAGCCTTTGTTTTCAGAGCAGATTCCAATAGGATGTTTACCATCTTCAGTTGAGGAACCGGCAAACAGAGGTTGCCAGCCGTCTGCCTGGCTTCTGTTTAGTCCTCATAATGTACGATGCCCATCGATGATTTTAATGGATGAGTACATTGTAAACACAGCGCTTGTTTGTATAAGGATTTCTGTTTACCTACATAATTATGTGATTTCCTGAAACTTAGGCTGAATTAATAATGGCAAAGTTAACTTTTCATCCAGATGAAAAGCTGAGAATTTCCAGTGCCCTCGAAGGCACATTCAGAAGCTACGGGGCTCGTTCCTGGTTTAAAAAGTGTATCTTAGGTTTGAGTTTGAAGTATGTTTTGTTAATAAGAGCACTTTCTTACTTTTGCTGGCATGGGAGGAAACCTGGCTCTTCAACACCCGGGGCTTCTGATTTGCTAAGGCTGCCAGAGATTTTCAAAGGAAGGACACAGCAGACTTTGAATGCAAAGCTTGCAAGGGGAGTGGGGAAACATGGAAGCTCTCTACAAGTGGCCAGTCATGCTTTTCATAAAAGTCGGGGGAGGGGCAGGAGAGGTTCTGGGGCTTGAACTCAGGGCCTCAGTGCTGTCCCTGAGCATTTTTGCTCAAGGCTAGTGCTTTACCACATGAGCCACAGCTCCGTTTTCTTTTGGCCTTTTGGTGATTCACTGGAGATAAGAGTCTCACAGACTTTTTCCTGGCCGGTTTTGAACCATGAGCCTCAGATCTCAGCTTCCTGAGTAGCTAAAATTACAAGCCATGGAAGGCTTAAGCCATTTCATTTTTCTATGGGAACCAAAAAGGTATCTGAACAGTTCTAAATAAGTGAATACAAATGTTTTCTTGGTGTTTTTTTTAAATTCATAACTATGTCCTTAATAGGTAAGGTGTTTTCAAATGATCCTTTAAAAATGATTTCCAGTGGAACTGAAAAGCTAGGTAGTGTGCAGATGAGGGTATCAGAGTCTTGGCAGTCAATGGATTGGAGAATTGATTTGAGTGATGGAATTATTCCAGACTGCCAGATTGCTTTGTGAGTAGGTTCTAGCTGATTCGGTGCCTCTCATTTGTGAAGTTGTACATGCAGTATGTGTGGAAAAGTTGCCGTGTTTACTTTGAGAAGGATTTACAAGGGGAAAAAATGTGAATATAAAGCATCTGTGTACTGGAAGTCTGACGAGGGGCATGCTGGGTACAAGGCTGGGTTTAGAGTGTGAGGATTGTTGCTCAGAGAGAAGTGCTCTTTATGTATAATGCAGTCTGATGCCGGGGCAAATGCATGCAGATGTGGTCTCAGCAGTATGGGGGGGGGAATACCTAGTGTTAAGGAATAATATAACTTGTCATTAACAGTCATTAATACCAATTAAGGATGACAGACTATTAAGCAGTAAGTTATATAAGACCGATGCAAAGTGGACTAAGACCAAAATCTTTCTCCTTCAAGTTATTGTGATTATGAATTGTAGGGAGCAGCCACTCTTAAGGACTTCGAAGATGCCGGGAAGTACTCTTTCCAAATTTCCTTATTTACAATGAGATTCTTTTGCATGACTTGGGGTTAAATATTTTGCTGAAACTTAAAGACCTTTGGGAATGGGCTTTGTTAATCTTTAATGTTGTTTAGAGCATTTATCAGTCTTACCATGGAAAATCCATTAAAAAGGGAAAGGAAGAAATTACCCATCTTAGGGCATTTCCAGTGGTGTGAGGTGCTGGAGTGTCTCCGGGGGACAGAAAATCTTGACCCTGGCTACCTTTTGTCTTGTGGCTTGCATTGAACCCACAGGGATTTCGTGGAAGAATTTTCCAGGAAACATAAAGGAATTCAGAGTAACAGGGATGGTTTCAACAGAATTGTAAGATGAATATTCACATTTGGAAATGTTTCTTTTCATTTATAAATTTTGTTTGATTAAAAACAAAAAAAAAAGCAGAGCAACTCAACTGAAGCCAGCATTTAGACAAGTACAGAGCTTTAGTTTTCAACGTATTTTTAAGAACTGCAGCATACAGGAAAGAATAAGTGTGTAAGTGTGCATGTGCACACTCGTGTGTGTGTATGTGCTTGAACTCAGGGCCAGAGTGCTTTCCCTTAGAATTTTTTGTTCATCTACCACTTGAGCCACACCTCTACTTCCAGCTTTACTGGCTAATTAGAGATCAAATAGACTTTTCTGTGTGGGCTTTGAGCCTTAGATCTCAGTCTCCAGAGCATCTAGGATTACATGCATGAGCCACCAGCACTGGGCTAGAAATAGATTTTTATACTGGGATGGGGTACACCAAAACACATCTCTTATTATAAACATACGCACGCATACACCACACACACACACACACTCAGTTCATTCAATAGTATGTGACAGTATTTTCTATTCTGCTGTATTCTAAATCATGGTATGTTTGTAAGACATTTCTGGTCATGGCTCACCAATGGGGCCTGCCCTGAAGTTATAGAACCATTGCTGCGGGAAGTTCTGTGGGGAACCACGGGACATGGCCTATCTGTCACTGCCAGTGACAGTTCCCAAAGGCCGCTTCCTCCAACACAGCCACAAGCCTGCAGCTTCTGTCCCCATGTTAGCATTTCCAAGTCATGTCTTGTGTGTGTGTGTGTGTGTATGTGCGTGTGTGCGTGTGTGCGCACGCGCGCGCTGTCCTTGAGCTTTTTTCCTCAAGACTAGATTTCTACCACTTGAGCCAACTTGGCTTTTTGGGGGCAGGCGGTACTTAATTGGAGATAAGAGTCTCCTGGACTTTCCTGTCCAGGCTGACTCCAAACCATGATCTTCAGCTCTCAGCCTCCTGAGTAGCTAGGATTACAGGCATGAGCCACCAGCGCCCAGAAGCACAGGTCATGGTTCTTACGTTTCATTTGATCCATTTGCCTTGCTTTAAAATGCATCTTTTTCTTGCTTGTGTTAGCAAATAGCTCCTAAAGTGATAAACTTTAAGGGGAAAAGGAAATTTAGTGGGTAGTTTTTGTTTTTCTACCTATCTACAAAAAAAAAAAAAAACGTATTCTGGTTTCCATTAAAAATCCCAAAGTGAGAAAAAGGAAATTAGAACCCCTTACACCAGCAGTGTGAAGGCTGGGAAGGAAAGATGGGAAGGCAGCCCATCATAGGGAGCTGGGCTTTGGGGCTGGGGGCTGGAATGGGACGCACCTGGGGACTCCACAGCTCAGAAAGACAGAGAACTACTGAGCCAGGCAGATCTGGGTCACAGAGGTCTCTCTCTCTCCTGCTCCACCCCCATTCCTGTGTTTACACCACACACACACACACACACACACACACACTGTGACCTCTCTCTCTCACACACACACACACACACACACTGTGACCTTTGACTCCCAAACCACAGACCTCTGCCAGTGAAGCTAAAGCAAATCTCGAGGTTATCAGAAATCCATCACAACCGCCAATTACTAAATCACTAATAATCAGGGAGACAGATTTTCCCTGAGTCCAGATGCCCTCCCTAGAGGACACGAGTCACTTTAGAAAGCCTCCATCATCCTTTTGGGCCACAGAGGGCTCATTCGGTGTAGATCAGGCAGCTAGCACTCTGCCAACTCGTGCTGTGGGCCTTGAATGACTTTTCTAAGTACTCCAAGGCACTGGACCTCTCCCGTGCCTGCGTTTCCACTGGGAAAATCTGCACAAGACTTATGGGCGGCCTATGCTTAGATGTCACAAGGCCCAAATCCGGTTCTGTCTTATGTTCTGCTTGATGTGAAAAGCTATTCACTATAGCTTCCTTATTGAGATGGGAGAAGGGAGGATTGTAAGCATCCTGTAGATGAACCATGCAGACTTTAAGTGTACCTGCCAGACTTTAAGCTACCTCTGTCTTAAAATTACCTATTCTCCTGACCTTTTCTTTGGTTTTGGAAGTGAAGAGCAAGTCCATGACCCCCTCTAGCCAAACATTGGTAGTTGGTCCATGCCTATAATTCTAGCTGCTCGGGAGGCTGAGATCTGAGACCATCTGGCAGGAAAGTCCTTATCTCCAATTAATCACCAATTTCAGAAGTGGAGCTGTGTGGCTCATGTGGTAGAGCACTAGCCTTGAGCAGAAAAGCTCAGGGACGGGGTTGAGACCCTGAATTCAAGTCTAGTAACACACACACACACACACACACACACATACACACACACTCAGGGACAGGGTTGAGGCCCTGAATTCAAGTTCTAGTAACACACACACACACACACACACACACACACACACTCAGGGATGGGGTTGAGACCCTGAATTCAAGTTCTAGCACCCCTCCCCCCC